AAATTTTAAAAAAATCATGGCAGTTAATGGCATATTGGACATTCTTGAGTCTTATCTTTTGCTGTTGAACATTTTGAACTGCAGTTAGCATGTGAGCAGATGCAAGGAAAACCATAAGACAAGCCTGAAGAGCTAACCAGGAGGATTTTTGTTTTCATCATTCTGAAATAACTTGTAAACAGAAAATCTCTGTAAGTTATGTCTAGAAATGAAAACAGGAATCAAGTTATCTAGGTTATCAAGTTATATACAGTTCATAGAGTGAACTCAACCTCGAACACATAAAGATTTTGGGGTGTGGTGTGTGTATGCAAGAAAACTATATATATGTTAAATGTGTATATATGTAAAGTATGTATATTTTACACACATACATATATATAGTCTAGTTGTATGTTTTTCAACTGGTGGATCCTATATCTGAGTTATGTAAAAGGGAAATTTTGAGTCCTAAATATTGCTCTCATCTACAGACTGAAATAAATGTAGTTGGCATCTATAAAAGTAAGTGTTCAAGCATATGAAATAGTAGTGAAACACAAACTTAAAGTGTGACCCAAGTCATAGTAGGTTGCTTCATGATAAGTTTTTCTATCAATGGATGCTAATTATAACTACCCTTGTTCAAGCTTAATTCTTTGATGTTAGGAAAGGGCTCCACATACTTGAAAATATTAGCCAACATTAACCTAGCCAAATATATCTCAATACTTTATAGTTTTGGAAAAAAGGATTTCAAGTGGAAATGCTGAATTGAAGATGGATGTAGTAGTCTAGAATTTCTGGAAAGTCTGGACTTAAAATATAAATTGTGGAGTCATCAGCATGTAATATTGTTTTAAAGTCATGAGTCTTGATTTGATTGCTGACTGAGTGTTGCTCATCACTCAGATTATAGATTTAAAAAATAGGAGGGGTTTTATAGATTTTTTAAAATATAGGAGAGGCTCAAGGACCAAGCTGTAGATTTCTCCAATATTAAGAGACCGAGATGATATTCAGGAATAAACAAAAGAGAATGACTGCTGAAAAAAAAAAATAGAAAATCAAGATGATGTGTTTCCTGGAATTCAAATGAATCAAGCATTCAAAGGGAAGAGAGGGTGTTTAATTGTGTAGAATGTTGCTGACAGGCTGACTAAGGTGAGGACTGAGATTGGCCATTGGATCTTACAATAGGACCATCACTGGTGACTCTGGCCAGAGTAGTGTTGGTAGAATGTGGGAAAAAAACTCTTTTTGAGTGGTGTAGGAGAGAATAAAGCAAAACTGGACATGAGGAATTTAGAATTTGGAATTAGAATAATTTTGCTGTGAAGGTAAGGAAAATTAGAACAGTAGATGGAGGAAGAGTAGAATCCTAGAGTCAAGAGGGTTTATGTGTAGTTGTCATTGTGGTTGTTTTTATGATGGGAAAAATAATAGCATGATCGCATACTGAGGGGAATATTCCTAGAGAGAGCTACTTCACATCTGTTAATTCTACTAATTAATCTCTTCCTGTTTTTAAGCTAGATTACATCTCTCTCTCTCTCTCTCTTAGAATTATATCTATTTTTGATAATTAAGCTTTCCGACTTCCAGGAAAGCTGAATGCTATCTCTGTGTCCTGCCTCTACCCTATTTTTCTTCAAACTACTATTTAGGTCAACAAAGAAATCCTCACTGGCAGTGTTAATAGTTAATTTTTTCCACTATTTCTGCTTAGTGGGATGATTCTGATCCACCCTCTTACTTGTTGCTACTCTTCTAGTTGGTTTACGGGTCATCACCCTCTCCTCAGTCTCCTTTCCCCTCCCTCTGTGTCTTCTCAGCCTATTTTGCCTGCTCGTGCTCTGCCCACCCCTCAGCAGTTGGCAACCCTGAGGCCCTGTCTTGATTCTCCTCTCCGTGTACTTCAGGGTTATCAGCTCCAGTCCCGTGCCTTCAATTTCTAAGCTATTTATGGCTCAATAACTTATAGAAAAATGAGGACATCTGCATTGACTGTGTGCCAGACACTTTGCTACCTTTATATCTGCCTTGTCTCACTCAATCTACACCACTTCTCTGAGTATTCCTGACTTCACTTTCAAATAAGGAAATTTAATGCTCAGTAAGGCTCCAAATCTCACCCAATCCCACAAGTTAGTAAATAGCAGAACTTTGAACTCATTGTCTATTTGACTTTAAAGCTGTTGTTATAACGACTGCATTTTATTCTCCTCTAAACCTCTAACTCAGTTAACCTTAGTTTTAGATGGGGACATTCGACTACCTAATGTATGTAGCTTAGCATTTCCACCTTAGTGGAGGTTAAACTAAACTCATTACTTGTCCCTTACTCCAGTCCCCTTCCCATACCAGCCAAATGTCCCTATATCAATACCTCCTCCTCTAATATTCCTTATTTCTTATCATGATGTCTCCTTCAATTCATTCTTTAAGTCTAGAACATTTTGGATTATTCTTTTTTTTTTGGATATTTCTCATATAATCTTTTTTTTATTAGTTACACATGACAGTACAATGATCTTGACATTTCATATATTTGAATCAAATGGGGTATAATTTCTCATTTTTCTGATTGTACAAGTTGCAGAATCACATTGGTCATACAGTTTGGATTATTCTTAATCCCGCATCCTTAAGTTTGTTGGTCTCTGAGTCACTGGAGAGGTGCCTCTACATGGCAGTACAGGTGACATTTTCCTCTGCTTCCTAACTGACATCTTGCTGCCTGGCTCCTTACCACAGTTGATCTGCCTCACAGGTATCAGGATTAGCTTTGGAGAAAGTCAATCTGATCATTCCACTTCACATAAAAATTTCTCATGGCCCTTGTCACTACAGAAGCATTTTCATTCTCCTTAGAATATCACTCTATAAATGGTCTTGCCTTCCTTTTTAGTCAGAGACATCATGAACACATGCAAAGGCTTATATTTCAATATATACATAGATACCTCTTTTGCTAAAGGAAAGAAAATTAGTTTCAAAATCTTTGCTAAAGTTTAAGTACTTTAGCAACTAAAAATAAATTACTACTTATTTTTCTCAATGGGTAACATATAACTATTGTCATGTAAGTCTTCTCAATTTTTTATGTCAAAACCACTCTTATTCAAAACTATACACCAACAATAATTTCACGTAAAAACTCTCATTTTAACTAATATTCTCATCTAGGTTTGTTCTCTGGCTGTGGATCTTGAAATTAACACTTACTAATTTTGCATAAAAAAACTTTGGGAACATATGAATGATAGAGTGGAAATGGTGAAGGTAGGGATACTGACACAAGGGTCTTTTCAAAACAGGATCAAGATGAATTTGTTCTTTTTTTTTTTTTTAATGTGCTTATTCACCTGAGAAACATTTAATCTAATTTGGATATATGCACAAACTTAAAAGGTTCAATTTTAACTTGATAAGTAAAGAAATATTGAATGTAGGGTTATTTCAAAATTTGTTCTTCATTAATATTCACTTTTTGCTTTTATTGGTACATTATAGTTGTACATAATAGTTGATTTCATTTTGACATAATCATACATGCATGGAATTTAATTTACTCCATTTTGAATTCCTTCTTAATAGCCTAATTAGACTTAAAAGAATTCTTTATGGTCTTTTATTAGATTCCAAGAAAGGAATTCAGATAAAGCCTAAAAATGAAAGATTACATTTGGTAACATACTAAACATATCTGGGACCAGACCTCAATATTCTAGTCTTTCAACCAAACATTATTAATGTGTTTCCATGAGGCTAGTAGGAGTTTACAGCCTCTAAACATTCCTGTAATTTCTCACACAGGGGCCACCTCGTATCCAAACTATAACATACTCCAACCTACTTATCCCACACCAACTCAATGATTAGTAATTTAACAAGCTTTTTTTTCTTCCAAATGCATTCTTCCCATTTCCTGCAGCTTCCCCTCAGCCCTGTTCCATTTAATTTTTCTTGTTCTTTTATAAGGGAATCTCTTCTTCATGGGCCCTTCCCATTTGTTCTATATACTGGCTCCAGCTGTCCTCAGGGACAAATCAAGACTTTTCATGTCTCACTGACATTTCTTGGAAGGGCTCTTTACCTGCTGAGCCTGTTGTGCAGCTTCCTGGGGAGACATGAGCACTCTGGAGTCACCACATTAGGTTTGAAAACACTTGGCTCAGCCATTTAGTAGCTGTTTGGTATTGGTATTTTAATAAACCTTATTGAACCACTTATCACATCCTTAATTGTTAAAAGAGAAGAGTAATTATTATTTTCCATGGTTGATGTAGCATACAGATAACTTATACTGAAATGCACTACACTTAGGAGGTCCTTGATAAATGGCAGTTAATGTTATTATAACAGTTTCTGCTCCAAAATCATCTGCTATGTGAGCTTTACTCTGAACCATACTTAATTGTTCTCTGTGTTCATGGCGCTCTGTTCTTAAGTCCTTTAAAGCAACAATTACTCTGATTCTAATTACTGGTTCTTACATATAAATTTTTAATCTTTCAGATCAGACTATTTTTTTCTGTTTCTGTGTCCATTCACCCCGCCCTCAGCTCTGTCAGTGTTTTCTTATCTATGCCTCACCCCAGGCTAAGTCTTCTTTTATTTGGGACTAAATAGATGTTTTGTAGGAAGAGTAATTAGTTCCTAGTTCCATAAAATCTAGAGGTCTACAAAACAAATATGTACACAATCTATGTTAATAGTTCATCATTTGTTTTACCAAATGATGAATTTTAAGGCAGTGCTGGTTCTAGTGTTTTTAAAGTGGAAAGTTCCTCTCCCAAATTCTCTGTGCAGATTATGAATAGGAAAAATATTTAATTTAAGGGTAGCAGGGTAACACTCCAATATGAAAATTGAAATAAAATCTGGAAAAGAAAATACATTTAATTATAAATGGAAATATTCATGTTTAGTAAAAATAACAAAATTTATGCCAGCCCCTTACTCCTTTATCAGCATCTCTAGGACAACCCAGTTATTCTAATCATTTTTCTCCATAGGCACATTAAGATGAAAATAGAAGGACCTGGTTTCACATTCTGTGTCTACAAGTGCAGGTACGTGAATTTGAATAATTTACTTCTAATTGACCTAATGCAAAAATTTCCACATTGTAATGTTATTTTTACTTTAAAATATTAGATTGGTAGTGTAGGATGACAATGAATTAACTTCCCTCCCTCAGTACAGTGGCTCTCAAGAGCTCTTATCACTTCATGACTTAGAATTTCAGGGCTTGAAGGACCTCTTTCGGGTTTTAATTTCCTTATGTTAAAGATGGAGAGATAGGCTAGTATGCACAAGGCTCTGTGTTTAATCTCCAGCACTGGGGGATAATTCTACAGATCAGAAAAAAGATGGAAACCTAAAGAGCTCATAGGATATACTAATAGTCACTCAAGTAGTTGTCAAATTCAGGCAGGAATTCAACCTTAAAGTGAAATGTGTCAAAAGCCAAGTATAATAAGGAATACAATTGAATCAAATATATGTCTAGGAGCCACATAGCGGTATTTGCTGAGCTCTGAGTACTCAAAAAGTGAAGACATCAACACGACCAGGAAGGTCACAGCTGGTTGAGCGGAAATACAACCACTACCCATCACAAAATACAAATATACTGAGATATATTATATCTACAGGAAGGCAAATTTAATGCTGCCTGGAGGTAGGCAGAAGAACACAACAGCCATCCTTTGAGTTATTCTTCTCCCCATTGCTGGTTATTATTTTAGCAAATGCTTACGTATCTACATGTATGTATCAGACTGTCTCTTAGAAAAGGAGAACTCACGACTTTAAATTAAAGGTATGAGGAGATCTGCTGCAGTAGGGACACTGCAGCCCAAATCGGTGATGATTTCCCTAGGAACAAACCAAGTACGTTAGGCCCTCTAATTGCCAGAGGGTGGGGTAGTCCTAGGTACCAGGGTGGCACTTAGCCAGACCTCTGAATCAATCCTTTAACAGGTAACCCAACACCTCAAGGAAACGGAAGCACAGTCGCTCCTCCTCGCTCCCTACCACTCCGCCCCCTCCGCCCCGCCTTGGGCACCGCCCTCCGCGTCTGCAGGCCTGCACCGGAGGCCACGCCCCTGCGCGCTGGTTGGTCCTCGCCGGAATGATGAAACTTCCCGCACGCATTACAGGAGCCAGGCGGCTGTAAGCCGAGAAGAGGCCGGCGGTCCCTCCAGCACTTCACAACCTTGGTCTCCTTCCCTCTGCCCGTCCGACCCATTCACTACTAGGTAAGCCGGGGCCGCTTAGCGCAGCGCCCTTCGTGTGCCCGGGAGGGCGAGGTTGATGTGTAGCAGCCTGGCACCCGACACACGCGGCTCCCTAGCGCCAGGCGGATGCTGCAGCGCCGGCAGAGGACCGAGGGCGGGGCTGAAGCCTGCGATTGTTGCGCACCTGGCCCCAAGTTGGCCAGGGAGGACCTCCGTCCCGGTCCTGAGGGTTTGATTGAATGGCGACCCGGGGCCAGGCTGCTTGAGAGAGAAGGTAGCGGCAACCAAAGTTTGGCCTTCGTAAATGTTATTATTTTTAACCATATGGCGTTGAATCCTGTGAAACTGTAGCAGTCCCAGGGCCCTGCTACGGACCTGCGGGAGCGTGCACGTGGCCGGTGCGCCGTCGGGTGTGGAGGGGCGATGCAGTGGCTAGGTCCTGGTTCAGGAGGGGAGGTCTCTGGATTGGCAGTCGTCGCCTGGAAGCCTGTACGTGTGTGTTTACTCCTCCTCCCCCACCCCTTTCCCACCCCTTGTCCCACCCCTGGACTGTAGACCAGCCACTCTCAACAAGTGACTTGCTGAACAAACCCTGCCAAGAAAAGATCTGTTTAGGGAAATAGGAGGCTAAATGCCGAAAAAAGCAAAAGAACTACATGCCTTTACTGAATGGACAGCTGTTCTTCAGGGCTGGCTTCAGATTAATGTTACTCTTTTAAATAAAGGGAGTTTTCTTCTCAGCCCGTGGCCTACATTATTTCTTCATTTCTCTGGGTGCTTGATTAATAATTTGGAAGCACTGAAAAACTTTTTTTTCATTGATAACATTACAAGTAAGGTAGGTCTTGCACCTGTCCCTTAGTTGGTTACTGAGATCATAAGTAAAAACTAAGCGATCTGAGGAAGTTTAAGTAATTGGTAAGCACAGAAATTAAATACACTGAAGTGGCTAATTTGGTAGCTGTCGTGTTATCTTATATTTTGAACATTTGAACTTCTGGCTGGTCTGAATTGGAGATGTGCTGTACATGTGAAAAACACCAGATTTTGACGAATTTAGTAGGAAAAGCAATGTAAAATATCTCATCATTTTTTTCATATTGATTTCATGTTGAAATTAATTACATGTTGATACTGTTTTGGGTGTATTGTGTTAAATGTTTTAAATTCCACCTTTTGTACTTTTTTAATGGGGCCACGTATGTGGGTCATATAGCTATTGCATAGCACAGCTGTGTAAGTTTAGAAGGAAATATGGAAAATGACTGGGAACAGGCAAAAGCAGTAAGGAATAAATATAGCAAATAAGACAACCTTTGCTGACTTATAAGAGTGATTCCAGTAACTATAAAAAATAGGTTATGGTTTTAATTTTTTTTCCTTCTAGAGAAATAAGTATGCTTCACAAAATATTGTTCCTCTTTTCCCTTTAATTTAGTGGTTAGGGTGTGTTTCCCTGTTACAGGCTTAATACTGGAATTCACTAGTTAGCATTAAGAAGTTTAAATAAATGCTTCTGATGATCACACTTGATTTTCAAAGCACTTTCCTACCCTATTTGTAACCTTTATAGATTGTTTATTAGTAGTTATCTTAAGTTGTATTGAATCTTTCACTAAATTGGTAATTCTTTCATTTTAGGCTGTTTGGCCAAGTGCATGCAAGGGACTGCGTAGGACTTATGCTACTTCATTTCCAAACTGCTTAAGTTGGTACCATTTTCCATTATTTTGATCAGGTCTTAAAGGGCAACCAAAGCTTTGTTTCATTTTAAATGTCCTCAAAAGATTGCTCAAAGTGAATGATGTAATTTGAATATATGTTATAGTATATAGTGTGCTTGTCCCAAATTATCTGGACATTTGCTGCAGATTTGCATTTTTAAAAAATATAGAAGTAGTTATTTTTTCAAGTTACAGATTCAATTAAAATAACCGAGCTGGCAGTATCCAAATGAAGTAGCCTTTTATTTCACAGTTGATAATTTGAAATTGGAAATTGAATTAACGTTTTTAAGGATTATTTACTTTCTGGGTTACAGGAATGTGCCAAGTGTTTTTTAAATTTTTTTTTTTCCAGGGATGTTGCTATATACTATGCTTTCTTACTGACCAGTGCAGCCTTGATACCAAAATATTTGAGAACAGTTTTGTCATCTAGGACATTTTGATAGTGAAGATTTTGTATCTTGTGTCAACGAAGAATGTTTTGTTAGAATATTTGATATCAGATTATATTGCTTTGTTTTTCTGATTCTTCAATCACATTTGAATAAATTACTTAGAGGTAAGCTAGAAGATATGAAAATCTTGCAAGAACTGAATCTTAATATTATACTTAGCATATAACATCTCTAGTATACCTGCCATATTCCAACTACAGTTAGTTAGTATAGTTAGAGGGCATTTAATCATCTAGGACACCCAAGAGGATAGTTTCCTGGATTGTTGAGGGCTTTTGTGATTCTGGAGTGGAAAAAGTTTGGCTAGGCTGGAAGTAGCCTTTATGCATGTCTGTATCTTGGGAGGAAACCTAGGCTGCAAAGACTGAATTTTACCTGGATGCTGCCAGGTGTAGCTGACCACCAAATCATAAGGTGGGAAGAGATGTGGATTTTGCCTGGGTGCAAAAGAAAAAGCTGCTGTAGCTGGTTAGGTGCAAAGGTCATCCATCCTTTTTGCATACTTGTAAGTAAATCAAATCTTCTACTTCTGTGTGTTTGCCAACGTAATGGAAAATTGCTGTAGATAAGATGGTTTATGTTTCACCCTTTGAAGTGGTTAATGCAGGTTTCTAGAATGGAGGATTAATCAGGCTTGGATTGGATGTTGAATATTTGATTGGTCTGCTTTTTCTCTTCATAGAAAGTTTATAGCTTCATTGCACCATGTGTGGCATTTGGGCCCTCTTTGGCAGTGATGACTGCCTTTCTGTTCAGTGTCTGAGTGCTATGAAGATTGCGCACAGGGGTCCAGATGCATTTCGTTTTGAGAACGTCAATGGATATACCAACTGCTGCTTTGGATTTCACCGGTTGGCGGTGGTTGATCCACTATTTGGAATGCAGCCAATTCGACTGAAGAAATACCCTTATTTGTGGCTCTGTTACAATGGTGAAATCTACAACCACAAGGCGGTAAGCAAAAACCTCAAAATTAGTCAAGTGTTTTAAAATATTTTGTATAATGCTTTTTTACTTTTTACATTTGCTCTAGTCATACAAGTATACAAGACACTGATACACAAAGAGGTGAATTTTCTTGGTCACCAAAACAAAAAAAAAATTCAGCTCTTAGAATTTTTTTCTATTAAAATTTTTAATATTAATTGTGCCTGTGCTGTTTTTTGTATTAGATACTGGAGTTACAGTGGTAAAGAAGAGGGGTAAGATTGCACTTAAGTGAAGCTTATTATGGAATATATAGAGGAAAAGTATCATAATATCTACAACATATTCTCATGTAATTCATCTAAATAATGACTGTGTGCATCTGTGTACAAGATATTATGCAAATATGGGCAAATATTAACAGTTGATTTAATCTAGGTGCTCGTTGCTTTAAACTGCATATTTGAAATTTTTTCAAAATTCAAAGTTGGGAAAGGAGGTAAGCAAAAATAACTTGCAAATTGTATATGAATTTTATATGAAACTCTAGCCAAATAATCCTAGATTGGAAATTCTTGTCAAATTCAGTATTTGGGTCCTCTTTGGCAGTCATGACTGCTTTTCTCTTCAGTGTTTTTGCTGTAGAGATGTACATAGGGGTCCAGGTGCATTTCGTTTTGAAAACGTCAGTGGATAAAACCAGCTGCTGCTTGGGGTTTTACTAGTTGGTGATGGTTGACCAGCTGTTTGTAATGCCCCCCATTTTGACTGAAGAAATATTAGGGAACAGGAAAAAAATTTGTTCATATAATAGGTTTTCTGAAAGAACACATACACATGTGATGAATATGGGAGACCCACATCCAAGATGGTGGTTAGAAAAGGGCTCTTGAAGCAGCACTTGAACTGAGACCTGATGGACAAGCAAGGTTGGGACAATCACTCTCTTTAGAGGGAGATTGCACGTGGAATAGCCCTGTGGTGGGAAGCGGCCCTGGGATCTTAGTAAGTGAGTTGGGGGCAAGTAAGGAAGGTAGGGTTGGGAAGGTGGGCAGGACCATGGAGCAGCACTTCATAGCCACGCTAAGAAGTAGAAATATTCTAAGGGCAGCAGCAGTTGAGGTTTTTAAGGAAGGTATGGAATTTAGTAGTTTGGAGATGACTATACTTACAGTGTTTACATAATACTGCCACTGAGTATTACTATAGTTGCATACTTAATTAGAATCAAAGGACAGAGATGTGGGTGGGCTGGATGCAGTCAAGAACATTAAGACTTTTAGCAGTACTAAAATTGGAACAACTTTCTAATCCAGTGAAGCTTATTCTCAGGGTAAGAGTGGGTGAGAGGATGGAAATTTGGATCCTAGGAAGCTGAATTTGACAAGAATCTTCTAATACAAGATTATTTAGCTAATGTTTCACAAGTAATTTACAAGTTTTTTTTTATCAACTCCCCAACTTTTTATCTTGAGAAAGTTTTAAACATAATAAAAAGAACAATGAGCATCTTGATTAAATAATTCTTAATATTTATTTGCTTTATCTCTTAATATAATATGCTTTATCTATTAATATATTCATTATTTGGCTGAATAATTTGAGAGTATGTTACAAATAGGAAGATACTTTCCCTCTCTCTGTTTAAGCATTTGTCACCCAAGAATACACACATTCTTCTACCTAACATCAATACAATTATTAAACCTAAAAATCAGTAATATCATCTAACATCCAGTTCATATTTAAATTTCCCAAGTGTCTCCAAGAGTATTTTAAGAGCTGTTTGAATTTTTTTTTTAAATTTTGTTTTGTTTGGTTTTAAGGCATATTTTAGTTAAGGTTTAAGCATTTAGTTGTGATTTTTCTTGGTGTTTTTTGAGACTTCTTTATATATTCCATCGTCATTGGTAGGGATTTATATTCTAGCCACCCTTTGGCTATTTTTATCTCTGAACAATAGCTTTTGCCTTGTTGTTTGCTTATAGGAATTTTCTTAATAGACTTCTCATTTGCAGAGCTTTTTATTATTTAGAAAATTCCTTTCACAGATTTATTAAGGGTCTATATACATGGTCATCATTTTTCTAGGTACTTGGAGATGAAATGGGGAAGAGAAAAGGTAAGAATGGAGTTTCAGGCTAGTGGGAGTGAGAAGAGGGGAGCAGTTCAAATGTCTTTGGAAGTCAAATCAATATCTTATACATCATGGGAATACTACATTATACTATAGCAATATTGGCCTGGGGTTTCCCTTAAATGAAGTAAGAAATACCTTATTTTGCTTAAACAAAATTACCACTTGTTAATTTTGTTAATAAGTTATAAGTTAAGTATTTTTTTTTTTTTTTTCTAAATCAGTTAAGTATATTGAATTTGCAGAGTTCTATTGCTTCTACCAAGTATCTGAGTTTGGGCTGCTAGAAGCCTACCTAAAGAGTAAAATAAATATTTTAGTCTTATCTAGAGTATTCTGTAACATAAGCTACATAGCTCCTTTTTTTTTTTTTTTTTTTTTTTTTTTTTTTCTGGGGTCTGGGTGAAAATAAAGAATTGCTACTACAGAAATACAGAGTGCTGGGATTGGAGGGAGACTGAGTGGAAGTCTGGGGTCCACAACCACCAAGTCAAATGCCAGTATGACTTTGGGATGGTGGAAAGATATGGGGCTTTTATCTAAAGGGAAACATTGAAGTGTGTTTTTAGGAGAGTAGCAAATGGTACTTAACCATTGAATTGTCAACCAAGTGACCCCTCTGTTCTTTGAATAAATTGCCTGCAAGGTTTAGGTCAAAGAGAAGAGGTTAGAGATGGGGGAGGTAGATTTGGAAAGCTATTACTTGCTATTATCATCAAATGCATTAGGATTAAGTATCCTTCAGGTATTTCTGCCCAGAAGGGTTACCAGGAATCTTTTCAGATCCCACCTGCTAATGATAGGACCATCCTGGTAGTCTCTCAAAGCAAGGAGGAGTGATTAGGTGGTGGGCACTGTAGAAGTAGCCAAAGCTCTTTTTTGTGTAGACTGTGAGTGCTTTTAGATACAAGGTTCAGACGTTAGGAAGTAAGCTAGACTGTGAAGCATATTTATAGGTCATACGTTATAGATTTACTTTTTGAAAATTGGAAGCATGTTCTGAATGTTTAACTTTATTCAAGCTTTCCACCTGATTTTGTTTCTGCTAACTTCTCTCTCTTGTCAGCCAACAATGTGAGTTTTAGTACAAAGAAAGCAGCACACACTAAGGACTTGACACCCACAGAAGTTTGTCAGTGGTAGTGGAGAGCCACTGAATTAACCACAGTTTAATCAAGCATTCTGCATGTGGTGGCAGTGACCATCTCTTCTGTTCCTTTGGGGCATGTGGACTGATAAAGCCCCACTGTCATTTTCTCTATCAGTGAGAAGTAGCTTAAATGCCACTGGAGTGGTGGAGTCTGGATGTGGTAGTTCACCCCTGAGGACACGTAGCTTTGTTTTGGATTATGTACTTGTCATTGTGGTAGAGTCATTTATTTGTCAGAAAGTGGTGTTTTTTTGCTTTAAATTTTCACAGGTAGGTCTTTGAGGCTGATCAGGAAGAACCTTAGGCAATACTCTATTCCCAGACCAAAAGTTCATAGTTGCTGAAAACACATTTTTAGTGTCATTGTGTTTTGGCAACTGGGTGAACTGTTTCCTTAACTTAGGCATATGCAGTCAGCCCTCCATGTCTGTGGATTCTGTATCCACAGATTCAACTAACTGGATGGAAAATATTTGGGGGGGAAATTTTCTCTGTACTGAGAATGTACAATTTTTTTTCTTGTTCCCTAAACGATATAGTCCAACAACCATTTACATAGCATGCATTTATATTGTGTCAGGTATTATAGATAATATAGAGATGATTTAAACTATACCAAAGGATATTTGTAGGTTATATATAATAAACATTACAACATTTTATTTAAGGAATTCAAGCATCTGCAGATGTTGTTATCTGGGTGGGATTTTGGAAACAATCCCCCACGAATACTAAGTGATGACTGTATATGTAAATATAGGTGTATTACATACAGAGTATGTATATAATATGAATTTTCATCCCTACATGCCTTAACTGTTCTGGTACATGCCACTGTACATCCCATTTATAAGATAGCAACTAAGACAGTAACCTTATGTTGTAAAGAACTACCAGAATCACAGGTTGAAATAAGCTGTATTTTGATAATGCCACAATTCTTCTAAACCACTAAAGTGCTTGAAATAATTATAAAGCACAGAAATGCTGAGTCAACTTTGCAATAAAAAGTTATTAGTGAACACACAAGCATGCTGACATTTTTGTTTTGCTCTGTTTCTTAAGTTGCAACAGCATTTTGAATTCGAATACCAGACAAAAGTGGATGGTGAGATAATCCTTCATCTGTACGACAAAGGAGGAATTGAGCAAACCATTTGTCTGTTGGATGGGGTGTTTGCTTTTATTTTATTGGACACTGCCAATAAGAAAGTGTTCCTGGGCAGAGATACCTATGGAGTCAGACCTTTGTTTAAAGCCATGACAGAAGATGGATTTCTGGCTGTGTGTTCAGAAGCTAAAGGTAATGAGGGAATTTTTTTGTGATTTTTCGTTCGTGTCCTGGTTTTGTGTTTTCTTCTAAATCATATTTGATAAACCCTGGGGAGGATCAATGACAATTTTACATGTGACTGTCATGGATCCTTAAAGCTATGTTTTCTTTTTAAACAGAGGAATGGGCCTCCCTGTTTCAATATTTAAATTCTCTAATCCTTGAGGTATGAGTCTATAGTACATTTATGTTTTTATTATGCTGATATACTCTGCATCTAGTTTGATCCTGAAGTATATTACAAGTTTTCCTGTGTCATATTGTAATCCCAGGGTTGGCCCTGTAGTTATTGCACTGCGGAACCTTATCATAGCTACTGTCACAGATATGCGTAACCAGCACTCCAGATAATTTTAGAATATTTTTTATCACCTCAAAAAGAAATCCTGTACCCTTTATCTATCATTCCCCTTCTCTTTTTATCTGTCATCTACAACATTCCTTACCCTATCCTCTAGCCCCTGGCAACTACCAATCTGCTTTTTGTCTCTGTGAATGTCCTATTCTGGATATTCCATATGGATAAATTCATATCATTATATGGAATTTTGTGAATTCTTTTACTTAGTAGAATATTTTCAAGATTTATCTGTGTTGTGAGCACTTCCTTTTTATTGCCAAATAATACTTCATTACATACCACATTTGTTTATCCATTTATTAATAATGCTGCTATAAATATTTGTGTGCAAGTTTTTGTGGACATGTGTTTTTATTTCTCTTAGGTATATACCTAAGAGTGGAATTCCTAGATCATATGGTCACTGTATTTAATTGTTTGTGGAATTGACAGACTGTTTTTCAAAATGGCTGTATCAGTTTATGTTCTCATCAGCAACATGTGAAAGTTTCAGTTCTCCATCTCCTCACACTTACATGTGAATATTTTGAGTCTAGCCATCCTAGTGTGTGTGACATGGTATCTTGCTGTGTTTTTGGTTTTGTATTTCCCTTCTGACAATGATGTCAAGAATCTTTTCATGTGCTTATAGGCTATTTGTATGTATTTGGAGAAATGTCTACAGAGTCTTTCCCATTTTTTTCTTCCTGCTGAGGATTATTTCATTAAAAATTAATAGACTTTTTTTAAAGAGAAGTTTATGGTCTCAAAAAATTTGAGTGGTAAGTACGGAGTGCCCATATATTCCCTCTGTCCTCCTAGTTTCCCCCACTGTTGGCATCTTGCATGACTGTTACATTTGTTATGATTGATGAATTGGTATTGATATATTAGCTGTCCATTGTTTACATTGGGGTTCACTCTTTGTATTATATAGTTCTTTGTATTTAACAAATGCATACTACCATGTATCTATCATAAAGTACCCATGTAGAATAGTTTCATTGTCCTAAAAATCTGTGATATCTGTGATTCACCATCATCTTTTCTCTTATTCTGGCTCCTGAACCCCTGGCAAGCACTGATCTTTTTAATGTCTATAATTTTCTCAAGAGTATTTTAAAGTTATACTCATATAGTACATAGCCCCATCAGACTGGCTTCTTTTACTTAGCAATGTGCATTCAAAGTTCCTGAATGTCATTAACTTTTTTTTTTTTTAACATCAGACTTACTTGCTTTATTTTCAGTAATAGATGTTATCAGAAGTTGGAGATTGACTGCATATCAGAAAGCATGTGTCTAGGGAAAAATATCTGATTTATCTTTTTTTTTTTCTTTTTTCTTTTTTCTTAGTTGTTCAACTGAATGTCATTAACTTGATGCCCCCCTCCTTTTTTTTTTAAAATCACCAAGTAATCCACTGTTTACAGAAGAGTTTATTTGTTCTACAGAAGAGTTTATTTGTCCCTTTCTGAATTACCCATTTGTAATTGAGTCATCTATCTTATTACTTAATTGTAATAATTCCTTGTATATTTTAGATACAAATCTCAGAAAGATGTTCAGCAAGATTGCAGTATACAAAATCAGTGTATGAACAGTGTATTTGATTGACATATGCAGTAAACACTATACACTTTGCAGTGAATATTCTGAAAATGAAAGAAAACAATTCCATTTATAATGGCATCAAAAAAATAAAGTACTTAGGAATAAATTTAACCAAAGAGGTGCTAAACTTGTACTTTGAATATTATAAAACATGATTAAAAATGTAATAAAATATAAATAAATGCAAAAGTATCCCATGATTATGGATCAAAAACTCAACATTGTTAAGATGACAGTACTCTTCAGTACAATCTCTGTCAGAAACCCAGATGACTTTTTATAGAAATTGACGGGCTGACTCTAAAATTCATACTGACTTATAAGGGGCCCAGAATAGCCAAAACAATCATGAAAAAGAAGAAAGTAGGAGAACTTACTTTCCAGATTTCAAAGTTACTTAAAAAAAAAAAAAAAGATTCCTACTTCTACTGGGTCTCCTTTAGACCTTATGGGCTCTTGATATGGAACTATAGTCTCAGTCCAATTTGTCCAAAATTTCTTGATTTTCTTGTCTGTATCCTTAACCGTTGCCCTTTTGCATACCCATTTTGATCTTGATACATTCTACTTAAAGCCTTTTCATTACCCTGTAGCCCTTGCAGGGGTATGTAACTCACTTGAGCTCTGGGAGCTAGTGAGAACATGTGGGTCCTTTGTCTGATCTTTGTAGTCAGAGATTACTGGGTTAATAAGCTCAGGTAGTAAATCGTGCTGTGTATTCTGTAGAGATAAGCAGTAAAACATTGACTTTCCTGTCAAAGGTAATGGTGATGTCTGTTTAGTAACTGCCTGTAGAAAGTTACTGAAGAAATTTAAGTTGTCTGCTTTTATGCATACATGGTATATAAAGACATGTGGGATAGATGTGTGACTTTTACATATTAACAATGGAGCATTTTGCTTGTTAAAGGATCTTTTCTTAAAATACCTCAGTGATGACAAAGAAATGACTGCCATTATATCATAAAATTAACATTTAAATTCCTCCTTTTTCCCTTTAATTGTATCCTTTCTTTTTGTGTTTGTTTGCTTTATTGTAGAAAATAAGATTTTCCTGATCAGAAATTCCAGCTAGGGAAAGGGAAGGTTGGCGGTTCTTCCGTTGTTTTGAATTACTACAAATTAGTGTAATTTTGCTGTATGTCACTATGCCACTTTAATCTCCCTAGTAAGTAGATGGTAGAACTTTGGCTGATTAACCCCCACCTCCATTTTACTTATATAATGGACATGGATGTATATTAAAGGGGGGAAATAAGTAGGAATTTATAGGATGTTACTTAGTTACTATGAGGTGTTCCCTTATTTGAATATTATCTTTTTGGATTTGTAGGTCTTGTTACATTGAAACACTCCACAGCTCCTTTTTTAAAAGTGGAGCCTTTTCTTCCGGGACATTATGAAGTTTTGGATTTAAAACCAAATGGCAAAGTCGCATCTGTGGAAATGGTTAAATATCATCACTGTAGGGATGAGCCTCTGCATATCCTCTATGACAGTGTGGAGAAACTCTTCCCAGGTAACAAAAGCCCACCCACCCCTGCAGCACCCCCCACCAAAGGAAAATGGTCATGTTCTCATGCCAGTATGTTTCCTAATTCACTTGAAGGTGATACATTGGGATTTGGCAGGCTCCCCAGTTGTGAGATTGCCATCATGGTGGAAGTGGGTGATTGTGGACCTCATTTCAATAACTAACGAAGCCCCAGCCTTTCTGGAGCTGTTTCATTTACTTTGTGTTTATAGGTTTTGAGATAGAAACCGTGAAGAGCAACCTCCGCATCCTTTTTGACAATGCTGTTAAGAAGCGTTTGATGACAGACAGACGTATTGGTTGCCTTTTATCAGGTGAGATCTTTTTTTAAAAAAAAAAAAAAAAACTAGTAATATTTTTTGTATGTTTGTTTAAGTGAAATGATTTGTAGCCACCCTGAGGTTTGACTATAAAATATTTTTGTTCTAAGAGTTAATCTTTCCTTTATTATAGGACATAAAAGTTTTTTGTAAGCTATTTAATATTCATATTAATACTGTGACTTAGAATTACACTGTTGTTGTATTATTAGTGTAAGAGCTAGTTAGTACACATTCTTTAGAACTCTAGTGATTTTAACCATTTCATATAGTTACCTTATCAAGTGTCCAATAAAAAACATTTTTCTCTTATTAAGGTTCATTTCAACTTAAAAAACTTGGGGATCTTAAATAGTAAAACTACAGTCCAGATGTATATCATATGCATCCCTGTCTAATGCTAAGCACCTAACTTGCTCTTTTTTTCTGCAGGAGGCTTGGACTCCAGCTTGGTTGCTGCCACTCTGCTGAAGCAACTAAAAGAGGCCCAAGTACAGTATGCTCTCCAGACATTTGCAATTGGCATGGAGGACAGCCCCGATTTACTGGCTGCTAGAAAGGTAAGACACTGTGTACAATCAGTGACTTGAAAAATTGTGCTCTATATGTGTAATATGAAATGAATTGCATTCTGCCATCATGTAAGACAAATTACAATAAATTAATAATTTACTAAAAATAAAATTTTAAAAAATGAAAGGTAAAAACGCTGTCTTTGCCCATTATGTATTACAGCAGTCTTGTTATTAGAATGAAAATCAAGCATAGATTCTATTTGTACCACTCTTTTGACCCTAGTAATTGTTTTGAATTAAATATGTTAAAATAGATTGAAATGCCTTTTGAACATCAGCTGAGTTGAATAGTGTCCTCTAGGTACTGTCATCTGCCATGACCCATATAATCCTCACAAAGACCCTGTAATAGTATTTCTGTACTTCAGAAAGTAAGGGCTTGGTGTGGTGGTATGATTGTGGCTTGGGGACTAGCTGCTGGTTTCGAATCCTGGCTCTACCATGAAAGTCCTTACTTATGTAATGGATATAAAAGTGTCTATAATGGGATAGTTTTGAGGTAAAAAAAAAAAAAAAATATATATATATATATATATATATATATATATATATAAAAAATATATATATATATTCATTTGAAATATGTGGAGTAGAACCTAGCATATGTAATAAGTAGCTGTTTCTATTAGCTGTTTCTATTTTTTGGTTTCTTTTTAATAAGTCATAATGTTTTGACCTATGGGCAGAGGGGGCTTGTACATATTCAGTGTGGGACATCTGGTTCTTGATCTGGAAGAACTTAGAATGTATAAGAAAGAGCTAGAAATCAATCTCAATGAGAATTGATTGCAAAACAGCCTGAGAAAATAGAAGGAGCCAAGGGCCATTCTATGTAGGAATAACACCCAGGGTCTAATATTAGACATTTTAGGAGTATAAAAAGGAGACCAAGTTCAAAGTGGAAGCACGTTGAACTAGAGAAAGATACTAGATTAGATAAAATTGGTGGGGAGTGAGGGATACTAATTGGGAGCCTCTTGACTCTTAGGTTTTAGTCTTGAAGTGGGAGGGGCTGATGGGAGATTTACTTCTTGTGGTTGAGAGGTCAGGAACAGGCAGAGGCACTTGGCAGCATGGGGCTTGAATGTGGTGGCCTGGAGAATTATTTCTTCTTACTGTGGTGACCTGGGGAATTATTTTTTCTTATTTTCCCTTGTTTATTTTTCACTACTAAATTCATCTTGTTTTGTGAGGTACTATCTGTTTCATTTTCAGGGTTATTTCCTTTAAATAAAAGAATTTGAATATTTCTTTAATCAGGTGGCAAATCATATTGGAAGTGAACATCATGAAGTCCTTTTTAACTCTGAGGAGGGTATTCAGGCCCTGGATGAAGTTATATTTTCCTTGGAAACTTATGACATTACAACAGTTCGAGCATCAGTAGGTAAGATATTTTATGTTATTAGAAAGTTTTTTTTTTAATACTGAAGACAAATAATGAGGTTTTAAAAAATTATTTCAAGAATTGATGTGTTAGCTTTCTTCTGCTGTGACAGATATCTGAAACAATTAATTTAAAAGGAAAAATGGTTTATTTTGAAGCTCTTGGTTTCAAAAGTTTCATTCCTAGTCAGTTGGCTCTGTTGTTCTTGAGGTGAGGCAGAACATTGCAAAAGACAGCACATGTTAGGGTAAAGCTGTTCTCCTCATGCTGACCCAGAAGGAAAAAAAAGGGGAGGGGCTAGGGTCCCAATAACTCCTTCCATGCACACCCCACTCATCTACTTCCTTCCAGTCGCTCCCACTTCCTAAAGATCCCACTGTCTTCCAGTAGCTCCACAGGCTGGGAGCCAAGCTTTCAACACATGGGCCTTTAGATTAAGAAATGTTATTTAAGAATGAGTTCATGGGGCTGGGGTAGTGAATGGCTCAGCGGTAGAGCATTCGCCTAGCATAAATGAGGCCCTGAGTTCGATCCTCAGCACCATATAAAGCAATAAATGAATAAAATAAAAGTAATGGGTCCAAGTACAACTAAAAAATAAATATCTTAAAAAAAAAAAAAAAAGAATGAGTACAAACAAAAGTCCTATATTGCAAATTATTTAAGATCACTTAACAATTCCATAGATTTCTTTTGGAGTGAAGGAAATACTAAATGCGCAGTTTAGACTCCACATTTATGTTGTCACTGTTTATATTTCCCCAAAGAGTGGATACAGTTTTTCACCCTTTTTCCTCCTTGTTTCTCTAGTTTCATTGTGCAGTTTCTTGGGCTATCAGTTGGCCTTCTGTATTTGTGAGTTCCTCATCCTTAGATTCAACCAATCGAGGATTAACAATATTTGAAAAAAAAAAATAATAATTCTGTACTGAACTTGTGTAGACTGTTTTTTTCTTGTCATTATTCTCTAAGCAGTATAGTATAACAACTATTTACATAGCATTTACATTGTTTGTATTAGGTATTATAAGTCATCTAAAGATGACTTAAAGCACAGACATACTATGCCTCAGAGCGATTATGATTTCAGTTCTGGACCTCTTCAGTAATGCAAATACTACTAGAAATTGAATCATGAAGTTTCTGGTTTCCCAGTACATAAAAAGATATATTTACACTGAACTGTGTGATCTGTGAAGTATGCAGCTGCATTGTCTGAAAAATATATGTACATTAATTATAAAATTCTCTATTGCTAAAAAAATGCTAATAGTCATCTGAGCTCTTGGGAAAATAAGTTTGTAAGAAACAAAATATCTGAATCATAATAAAGCTAAAGCATAATAAAATGAGTCATGCCTGTGTACAGTAAGTTGTGTGGGGTTATATGCAGATACTGTCCATATTATATAAAGGACTTGAACATTTGTGGATTTTGGTATTCACAAGGAAGGGGTCCTTGAAACAGTCCCCCATGGATACATGGATGGAACACTAGTCTTTGGAAAATGGGGAATTATGTGCATGTTGTAATTTATTTTCCTTAAGGAATTCTTACTTTAGATGTATTTTGGTAAATATTCCATCTACAACTTCAGTCACTAGCAGTTATTTAGCTCTACAAATAATGCTAGTTTTATCTGATGGATACATATTGATATAGAAAATGTACCCCAAATCAAAAAAAAAAAAAAAAAGCCAATGTTGTTAAGCCTGTAAAATAACAGTAGCTTAGATAATCCTCTTTTTAAAAACATTTAACTTGGAGGACAAAAAAAAAAAAACAAACATCTCTTGCCCTCTAAGACATTACAGTGAGTAAGTAGATACACAATTTATCTGTGTTACTGAAATTTAATGGGGTTGGGGGTAGGATTAGCAGGGGGAGTTTAAAAGTTTCCCTTGAGGAGAGGGAGGTAATTAAAAGAAAGGTTTAAAAGAGACCACTCGGGTTGGGGATTTAGCTCAGTGGCAGAGCACTTGCCTAGTACACACAAGGCTCTGAGTTCCTCAGCCCTGAGGGGGAAAAAAAGAGAGAGAGAACACTGGTTTAGGAAGATGTGGAGCAGGGATCAAGCAGACATGTTTCAATAACTTATGTAGCTGCCTTAACTATATAAAATTTGTAAATGGGAGTCTTGGGTGAAGTCAGTCCAAAAAAATTAAAACTAAACTACCTCTGTTAGTGTATTTTATGTGACTGTAATGAAATACCTGAGGTTAGATAACTTAAAAGGAGTTAATTTGGGCTGGGGATGTGGCTCAAGTGGTAGCGCGCTCGCGTGTCATGCATGCGGCCTGGGTTCGATCCTCAGCACCACATACAAACAAAGATGTTGTGTCCGCCGAGAACTAAAAAATAAATAAATAAATATTAAAATTTTTTTTAAAAAAAGGAGTTAATTTAAGTTGAAGTTTGGAGGCTGAAAGTTCAAACAGTGTGGCAGCCTGGCAAGACCCCCCCAGCTGTGCCACCTCATGGTGGGAACATGCATGAGAGCGAGAGATTACAAGGAGACACAGGAGGCCAGCACTCAGGAAAGGGCTCTTTTATAATAATTAGCCCTTCCCAGAGCTAAGAGTCTCATGAGAACTACATCAGTCCCTTCCCTTACACGGGGATGTCTCCAATGACCCACCCAGCTCTTAGCATGCCCACCTTTTACAGATCCCACCACCTGTCACATGGCCACACTATAGACCAAGCCTACAATGAACCCTTGGGGAACAAATGACATATCTAAATCATAGTAAAACCCTTATTTTTGTGTATTAATACCAGCATGTAAAGCATGATTTTTATGTGTTTGAATATTATTCAGTTTAGCAAAATTTCAAGGTATATGTTCTTGGTCTAAAAACATTAGAAATTTTAAGCTTGTTTACAAAATTGTAGAATGATTTCTGGCTGTTTATTGCAATGGTACAACTTTTGAATTAAGTACATATAAATGGCTTATCTGTGTAAGGTCATTATTTTGGAAACTATTTTCTGTTAATACAAAGTCTAGTATAATAGTAAAACCTGCAGTTGTTTCTGAAAGCCAAATAAAAAGATATTTTTGGTGGAGGGTTATGTTGACATTAACATTGATTTCTTTCTTACTTAAGGCATGTATTTAATTTCCAAGTATATTCGGAAGAACACAGACAGTGTGGTGATCTTTTCTGGAGAGGGATCTGATGAACTTACGCAGGGTTACATTTATTTCCACAAGGTGAGCACTCTGAAGCAGAGGACATTTGTGCTAGTAGGAAACATTTGACTGTTTTCTATTATCTGTCCTTTTCAGTGTTAGCAGTGACTTTTCTAAGTACCTTCTGAATTTATGAGGAAATCAATAGTGTCTGTTTCGTATTTCTTTGGGGAAGAAAGAAGTCTTAATAATAGTATCAGATGATTTTCATTCTTTAAAATGAACAAAGTTACAATCACCTTTCTGTGTCTTCATCTGTTTTATCTGTTGTAATGTTAGCAGTTGTGGTAGGTGTGTTTTATAAGGCATTGCCTGTCTCTAATCAGACATTTACTCCTGTCCTTCCCCTTGCTTTGCTTTCTATCTTACCTACCTTTAGTGTTGGAATATGCTTAAAAGGGAGAAGTAAAAGTAGTTTGGTATGCCACAAACAAAGCTGTTGTTCTGTTCTTTCTTTGTAAAATAGGCACCTTCTCCTGAAAAGGCTGAGGAAGAGAGTGAGAGGCTTCTGAAGGAACTCTATTTGTTTGATGTTCTCCGTGCAGACAGGACTACTGCTGCCCATGGGTAACTTGACAATTGTTTAAGAAAAAAACCAGTCTTCAAAAATGGGAAAAGATCAGTGGCCAATTTTTTTTTTTTTTCCCAGTCGGTATATATGTAGTTAAGTATGACTTTTATGGAACAAATGAAACTGGTTTCTTAACTTAGTCCCCAAGAATTGGGCTGAAGTCAAAGTGCTATTGTGGTAATGGGGAGGAGGAGTCTTCTGTGGGTTGCCTCAGACAGTTTCCGTCTTAACATTCTACATCTGACCCACAGGGAAGGCAGCTAGAACTATTTTTAAGTCTTTTTAGAAAAAGCTAAGGCTGTAAACTCCATATAACAAGTATTGAGTGCCCACCATGCCTCTTTGATGCTGTAGTGACTCTAAGGGCACAAAGATAAGGAAAGTTTTATTAGATTATAAAACCAGGGTTCTCGTCCCCCTTGGCTAAAGTTTTCATGTTTTAACTGGTCATTGGAGAATTGACGACTCTTTATGTGATAAACAACTGACGTTAAATATTTTAGTTTCTTCTACTGAATCACACTTAATTTAGGAAATAATTACATGGGAGATAGAGTTTAGGAAATAATTATATGGGAGATAGGGAATAAGCCTGATGCATGATTAATACCCTATTCTGTCTGCCCTAACCAGAGTCATTAGGATTCAGGGCACAGATAATGTGGCATTTGATGGAATATTGTGAAACATTGGTTTCTTTTGCATACTATATATGAAAATATTAATCAGTGGTTAAAAAATACTGAATTGTTATTGCATTTGTTAATAAGAGAAGAAATTATCTCATCTAGAAAAAACTTGGAGTCAGTTCCAAACAACGTACATTCTTAATTATCAGCTCACTCATGATCCTTAACTTTTTCTGCTTTTCAAGTTATACATTTAACTTTTCATATAAGGGAAAGTAAAAGTAATAGTCTCAAAACGATAATCACACGCAATAGATGAAATGATATTTATTATTTTGAATGAAGATTTCTGTATTCATCTGTTAGTGTAGAACAGTCAGTAGGAGGTTGTTGAAATGGCTCTATAATCCCAACATTAATCAATCTGGTTCCGTTGCTCGGAAGTTCTGAGCCTGAACCTAAATTGACAGGTGCTCAATACCCATTTTGACTTAGATCTTTCAATTTTCTCCTTTAAGCCTTGAACTGAGAGTTCCATTTCTGGATCATCGCTTTTCTTCCTATTACTTGTCTCTGCCACCAGAAATGAGAATTCCAAAAGTAGGTAAAATCAAGTCAACGTAAATACTGCCTGTTGCTCTCAGGTTACATCTGTGACTTTTGCTAATGCTGCTTCTGTTTTCATGTCAGAATGGGATAGAGAAACATCTCCTGAGAGAGGCATTTGAAGACTCCAACTTGATTCCTAAGGAGATTCTCTGGCGACCCAAAGAGGCCTTCAGTGATGGGATAACCTCAGTTAAGAATTCCTGGTTTCAGATTTTACAAGAATATGTCGAACATCAGGTATGAGATCTTTAGTTTGTGCAATAGAATAATTTAGATGCAGATCTGGAATCTCAGTTCTTTTCATGTTTAGTTTGAATGTTTGCTGTCTGTAGGAGAGAGTCATAATCTCTATAAATAGCATCTCTTTTAAAATAATTATGTAAGAAATAAGGAAAGAAGGTTTATAAAGTAGTATTTAGAATTGAAAGAGGGAGAGGGGAGGCTTACTAATCAGCACTGGCCATTTAACCTATTTTGGGATACTTACAGACATTAGACACAAGTGAATAAAATAACCTCTAAGTATTAGAAATATGCATGTGAATACTTTTTGAAAGTTAACTATAGCTGTGCATGTTATGGATATTGTAGCATTTTCCAAGTGATGTGTGTACAATTTATTGTACAATTTATTGTCATGCTTTCTCTTTATTTTGGTTTTGTGGTAACAGCAAACACAGGTATTTCCATGCCATTTAAAAGGCTGTTCTGCTCTTACACTCTTATTCTTACAGGTTGACGATGCGATGATGGCAGCTGCAGCCCAAAAATTCCCCTTCAACACTCCTCAAACTAAAGAAGGCTATTATTACCGTCAAATCTTTGAACAACACTATCCAGGCCGGGCTGACTGGCTGACCCATTACTGGATGCCCAAGTGGATCAATGCCACTGACCCTTCCGCTCGCACTCTGAGCCATTATAAGTCAGCTGCCAAAGCGTAGGCACTCTCCAAGCTGTGAAGTGAAAGTAGATGTTTCTTCTTGGGGTGTAGAGGCACTGGAGACAGTCAGGGGAGCAGTGAAAGTCAACCACTTAGGCCTACTTGGGCATGAAAAAAATAAAAGTCATACCTAAAACTTCGTTCTACTCATTTGTATTCCTACAGTTCTGTCATTAGAGGTAACTAGAAATGGAATAGCTGTGCCATATCACAGTAAGGAGGATACAGTGAGCTAGGCCAAGAGGGAATGGTCTGATATCTACAAGAACTATTTGGAAGATGTTTGGGCCTCATGCACATGTGGTCTCCCAGTCCTTGTCTCATCCTAGTGTGGTCCTCTTGTGATTGCCCTCTTAGTTCTGCCCACATTCCTTACAGTAGGCTGGAGATGTGAATCCTTTATAGGAGTTTGGGACCATTCTATTGTGTAATATAGTGATTCAGTTTTTTCTTTTGTAGGTTGAGCCATTGACCCTCCTGGAGACTATTTTTCCAGAACTGAGGTCAAACTTTTAAATGAAGTGATCTTTGGTGTGATTGTTCAGCTCTACTGTTGTACCAAAGTGGTTACATAGACAATATATAAACTAATGGGCATGGCTGCATTCTATTAAAACTTTATAAACAGACCTCGGTCCCTGTTCCAGAGCAATAACCCAAGCTGTGCATTTCCAATAAAAGGAACAAAAGTAGGTTTCTCCTAGTTGGAGAAATAGGAAATTCAGAAACATTTAATGAAAGGTAGATTTTTTGTTTGAATGCTCACTGGTTTTTTCAAGATAGCGTATTCAAATACATAAGAAAGGTGAATTTAGCTATTAAAGACTTTTGAAAAGGGAAGGGTTGGTACACAGGTAAATATAAGAATGATTGATGGGAAAAATGGGTAAGCCAGAAATTTCGTAGGTTGGAAGATGAGGAATTGATGTTAGCTGTAGGCCTTCATCTATAATTTAGAAATGCTTCCAAGAATCTCAAGAATGTCACTAATATTGGATGACTTTTAATGATTGTCTTGTATGTGTAGGTGCATAAATTGTTTAAATACAGCATGATTTGTCTCTGGGTATGTATTCCTGGTAAAGTGTCACCCAGCCAAGCTAAGTGGTGTTAAGAATGCTTGGGAAACTTGGTTGATAATGATAACACAATGTACATTGCAAGATTAAGTATGGCGTAAACCATGAACTGCCAGTTTGTAAGGTTGTGGGGTTTGACTTCACATTTTTAACTTTAGTGACTGTGAGATCTGGAATATTCAGGTACCACCCAGAAATTTGGTGGTTGAGATACTTGGTTAAGCCAATTTCATATCATCAAACTGGCAGCAACTTGCTAGATTTCAAGCTACACTTAAGATCCATGTAAGTTTTTTTTTCTTTTTTTTTATTTGCAGGTGGCGGGGGTACCGTGGGGCACTTGGCCACTGAGCCACATCCCCTGTTTTGTATTTAGAGACAGGGTCTCACTGAGTTGCTTAGTGCCTCGCTTTTGCTGAGGCTGGCTTTGAACTCGTAATCCTCCTGTCCCAGCCTCCTGAGCCACTGCAATCATAGGTATACCCCACTGCGCCCGGCCCATTTAAGGTTCTTGGCACACATTATAAAGTGGCTAAAAGTGGCAGTCTCTGGGGCATGTTCTTGTAACTCAGCCACTTTCAGATTGGCCAAGCCTGTTTTCCTGGACCATTCTGGTCTTGGTAATTCAGTGATGAGGAGGCACATGGCATCTAATACACACAGCACCACTAACAAAAAATTGTTTTTGAGGAGTGAACTAAAAGAACAGCTGATGTGATCCTGTCATTTCTGCCTCATGAGCACTTTATAATAAAACAGCCTGCTGCTTGAAGTTCCTCTCACTTTGATCTAATATCTGCTCTAAAAAAGATATCATATAGTTTGACAGTCTTTTTATACTTTTATTTTTTAAGAAAGTGAATGTGGGCTGGGTGTATAACTCAGTGGTGGAGCACATGCAGAGCACAAGGACCTGCGTCCAACCCTCAGCACCAAGAAATAGAAACCACAGAATATCCTATCACTACTTTTTAAAGAGTTCTAACACATCCTTGCAGATCTCTTGCTAAAAAGACACCATTGTGCATGTGTGGATCAATTATCTTGGATAACACACAGCTTGAAAGTATCTTAAGTCTTTTATAAGGAAAAAATATAGAAAGAAGCTAGCTTATCCTGAGCCTGTGAGCCTTCCCACAGATGACGCCTTCTTTGTGGGAAGTTTCCTTGTGTCAAGATTGTTGTATGAATAGATCTTGTTGAAGCCACAGGGGCCAACCGTACTCCGTAATTCCTCCTGTTTGGGGGTTGCCTTGGTTTGGTCTGGGGTCTGTACTAAGGGGTCCTTTGCATTACCATGGAAGGGAAACCTGGCTGTGAAGAAGTAGAGTGAAAGCTGACAGGGAGGTGGTTACAGAGACTAGCCATGTGTAGTGTGTGAAGCTCTATCGCCCAGCACATACCCATTCACCGTCCTGAGCAAATTATTCTGTCAGTCTTCTCAACCTTAACTGCAAGTGTGGCAGCTTTGATTTTCTTTAAAAGTGGCCACTGCAGTATTCCTGATCCCATGTACCCTACTCAAGCCTTGCTATTCTCTAAATAAGCAGTCTACTTACACTCTCTATGAGCCTGGCAGGATTTTATGGTTGTTTTGAGTAGCAGAATTTGGTGGAAGTGATGCTGGGTGACAAAAAGTGATTTGGGGCAGGAGTAGTGGTGCATACCTGTAACCCTAGCAGCTTGGGAAGCCGAGGCAGGAGGATCACAAGTTCAAAGCCAGCCTTAACAACTTTTCCAGGCCCTGTCTCAAAAAAAAAAAAAAAAAAAAGGGCTGGGGGCTGGGGATGTGGCTCAGTGGTTAAGGGCTCCTGGGTTCAGTTCCTGGTTAAACACCCCCTCACAGCACATGCACGCGTGGAAACACACACACACACACAATTAATGGCTTCTGCTTTCTCTTTGTACATGTTACAAGGAAGCATTGGCCTCATGGAAAGGCCGGGTACAAGAGTTTGAGTGAAGGTCAACTGTTAACAACTACCACCAGACTTGTGATAAAGCCTCTAGAAGGTTCCAGCTGCTAGTCTTTAAGTCTCTCACCTGAGCCCCCAAGCATGGGGAGCAGAGAAGCCATTATGCATATAATAAGTGGTCAGTGATAGTGTTAAGTTTTGGGTAGTTTCTTATATAGGTACAGTAACTGGGACAGGTGAACACCATTACCCTAGTTTTACACAGGTAATGTAAATCACCAGACCCAAGAGTTAATTACTAAGTGGTACAGCCCCAAGTTAGCCAGACAGATTGGCTTCAGAGGCTTTGTGCTCTTCTTTCCTGGCTATTCCTGCATTGTCATCATGGAACTTTAGCCTGTGTCTCTGATGGGAATTGAAATACTAAGGGAAAAGACTTCCATTGGGTTTTCTGGGGATCAAGAGCAGGGAGAGCAGGATGCTGATCAGGGGATCAATGTGCAGCTATCATTTTCTGTGATGGCATAGGCTCAGTGATGCTGAAAAAACCCCAACATTTAGGTGCATTAGTACAACAAAAGTTTATTTTTGTTGAAACTATATGCTTATGGAGGGCTGTGCTCTTTATTGAGGGGTTTATACTCTGGGCATCCAGACCATTGCAGGAAAAATCTTGACTCATACTTCCAACATCAACAAGGGAGGGGATGGAGAAAGTGGTGAATCATGTACTGAAACATAAGGCTTCCACTCTGAAGGGACACATCATTTTGGTTCAGATCCTGTACTAGTCACATGACCACCACTAACTTTGGAGAAAAGCACCAATGACTCCTCAAATCCACTCTTTGGACATCAAATAATCTGTTCACCCTCATGTGTATGAAACATACCTCCTTTTCAAGAGTGATAACCTAAGAATTCCATTCCACCATGGTTTTAGGTCCTGAATTCAGACTCTGTGAGTGATGTACTGATAGGGGAGTCTGTTTCAGGGCTGAGAAGTGGCATTTCTTCATGAACTAAGAACCTGCTCTCCACCTGCCTGATATGTAATAATAATAATAATGTAATAATAATGCAGCGGCAAACAACACCTATTCAAAAAGGAGAGAACCAGAGTAATTTTGATGTGCTGCTAATTCACCATTTAAAGGCCCCCATGTTCAGCAAAAAGTTGTCCTTCATGGTCATCAGTAGCTAAGATGTCAGGATGTTGGCAGTAAGAAGCAGGAGTGAAAGGGTGGGGGAATCAGTACCTGGCGTGGGGGGCAGTGGGAACACTTTGATGAGGAAGGGCTGATTTCTAGCAATATTATCAATAATATCAATTGCTGATTCTTAGCAATACAGCTAATTTGGCTCAGGCATTCTAATTTTGGCTACAGAAAAAGAGTTATCAGTTATTGATCATCCTTCCCAATTGATGAAGATCGCTTGAGCTATCATCAATCAACACAGCAGCTTGGGGAGGTGTGTACTCTTGAGCTCATCCCCATTGGATAGATAAGGGAGGTGGTATACAGAGTAAGTTTGTTGCCAGCTTAAGGTCACATGGCTAAGTATTAGGAGTAGGATATTTGATGCCAGGTTCCAGGGTTTTAGAAACTTCCTACTGTGAGCAACCTTTCAAAGGAACAGAAATATAAAGTGTAATTATGGAAAAAAAAATTCTATATTTCAAACAGAAGTATATATTTCCACTCTTGAGTATTTCATAAGCTATTTAGCACATCTAATTTAAGCTCAGTTTTCTATTTCCATTTTAAAAATTGGTAGTAAACATATAAGTACACTTGTGATTAGATCTTTTATGAGTTCTTTTCTTGATTTCAAGACCTAACTAGCCAGTAATTGGGTACCAAGAAATTAATTCATAATTTTCCTTTCAACTTAGAGAATTTTAGATAATGCTGAGGGTAAAAGCCAGTATATTTTAAAAATTGCTGCAGTATTAAAATATATGATTGCTGAGGACTAATAATACAAAAAAACACAAGGTGGCAGTCATGATATACTTTTCTCTTCAGGCAATTTTGTGCATTTCTCAAAGGCACTGGTGTGGAAAATCTATTTTATGCTATATTGAAGAGAGGACATGTTCATTTCATTGGATAAATCCAAGCACAGATGCTCCATAG